GCAATTGAGTGGCCCCCTCGGTCACCCGACTTAAATCCTTTAGATTTCTTTCTCTGGGGGCACATTAAAAGCAAAGTTTACAGCACTCCACCTGATACCTTGGAAGATCTGCGAGGACGAATCATTAATGTATGTCGCGAAGTAACACCGCAAGTGCTCCAGAATGTTCGACAACGGTTTGAAGACAACCTGTATCATTGTATGCAAGTTGGCGGACAACATTTTCAGCATTTACTTGACTAATACCGTAAGTTTTGAAGTAAAATTAAATCGATTTTCGCATTTCTCGTCAAAAATATTGTTCGTATTTTCAAAGCTGCATATTTTCTAAAATAATGAATCGATTTTCAAAAAGTAAGAATCGATGTATAGAGAATTAAAGGCCCTTTCTAATGACATGTACGTTTTCGATGGGCTACCCTGTATATATTTCCATTCAGTTTATTACAGTTTATTAACCGTTACTATAATGGTTTTTAACCTAATCGAATGCAATTTTTTAACATTGAAACCGGTCTTTGGAATGACCATTGTATAAATGTCACAGATCTACAATGGGAGATTAAAATATCTCGACTAAATGAATAACCCTTTATATTTGAAATTGTGCACATTAAACTGTTACAACTTTTGAACTCTGACAAAGTTTGTTGTTAATGTGGTTTACTTTCACACACATAGAGTTCACCATCAGATGACGCTAATTTAATTACTTGAATGTACGTCCAGGAAGATTGATGTTTTCATTAAAAAATATTTTTCCTCTTGGTAAGTATGTGGAACTGCAGAAACCCAAATCAATGTATAGTGCAGGTCATAAGCCTCTTCAAAATGTTATCTGTCTAGTTTTCAAACTTTTCAAATGCGCTTATCATTCATTTTAACTTAAAACTTAATATAAACAAAAACTTGTGATATTCATAGCTAATTGTTGAATGCCATGATATCTAGTAATTTGTTACAGTCTGTTAGTATCTGCCTCATTTTCCCAGGAACGTGTAAAAGATGATTGTGTTGTAATAATGTTGTAAATACGGGCTTAATTTAAAATTCTTCTAGTAAGTCAATATCTCTCTTCTCACTAGATGAAATCTGCTTGTCGATGTTATAAAACTCGCTCTGCATTCTCAAGCTTAACTATGCTTGTAAATTAATGAAGCAAACGTGAATTGAACTTCTTAGACGAAGTTATTTTTCAGAATATCATAATTCAAGCAAATGCGGCACTAACCTTATAACGACATGAAACAGGGGAAAATGATATTACGCCGGAATATTATTAAAAACTCTCGTAAAGTTAAATCCAGTAATACCTCAGTATTTTCAATTAGTAGTACGTTTAATTACTCCTTATAAATACATTTCAATGTATGTAATTATAAGTTTAAATTAGTAAGAAAAATGATAGGCAATACAAATGTCAGTAATAATAATATTAATATTTTTATTTACATTACGGTCTAGATGACAGTGCCAACAACGTCCAATGATAGCCACTAGTTTAAATCTACAGTACATTAAATACAATAGTAAAAACTGTAGGTTATGCTAAAAATTGCTACATACCAAAATTAGAAAACATCTACTCTCAGTCACTCCACTCAAAGAAATTATTGTTTTTTCGAATCACACCAACAGTTGAATCGTCTGTAGACCTATTCAATAGTGACACTGTTATAATACTAACCGCCAAATTGACGTTTTAAAAACAATCGATATAGGTTTTGTATGAAAATTGCTAAAGTGGACTGTTTCTAAAGAATTTAGGTGTAAATTTTATGCTAACTTATCACTACAGTAACTATTGCAGCGTTAGTAGGGATAGAAGGAAGGAAAAATGGTCTGGTAAGTATATGGCATATATGAGCAAAGTTTTTAAAAATTCAGTGTTCAGTTCTATAGAATGACAACTGTCAAAATTTTGGCCTAACGAGTGTGGTGGCAAGTCCGTTCCTGACTTCCCTGTCAGTGTAAAACATCTACTGTAGTATGGTTTTATGGGTTGTTATGGCCTACATAAAATATCGAAATTTCATTAAATTAGATATACACGTCTGTTCAAAAGTTAGAGCCGAAAAGGTAAATCACTGGGTACCCCTTCAATATATTTTGACCCCCCTTTAACTTTTTTGTTTTAAGAGTCATAAAAACATGTTAAATATAAAAGTTGTACTATTTTTTATGAATTTTTCGAAAATGATAGTAGAAAAACAAATGAAGTACAAACAAAATGGCCGCGGATGTTAACTATGTTAAGTTAAATGGAACACCCTGTATATTTTTACATATTTGGATAGAACGTTTCCTGTAGAGAATAGCCGTATAGGGTTTGTTGGGTCCATCTTTAACCTAATAAGCAAGATACTTTTAAAAAACGAAAAGAAGGTTTTTTATTAAGAAAATAATACATCTTGTAATTATTAGACATCTTTCAAGTATTTCTGCCCTTTTTCCAATTACGTAAGGATTTACAGATTTAGTTATAATATATTTTGACAGATCGGACATTGATACGGTCCAAAATGCGTATAGGTAATGTAACGAAATTTCACTAATTAGGCCGTGAGAGGTCTAATAACTCATGGACATTATATGGTAGGTCGTGACAGTGACAGGTAGTATTGTCTTGACAACATTGATATTGATTGACAGTATGTATTATAATGGACTTCATTTGTTTTTCTACTATCATTTTCGAAAAATTCATAAAAACTCGTGCAACTTTTATATTTAACATTTTTTATAACTCGTAAAACAAAAAAGTTAAAGAGGGTCAAAATATAGTGAATCACCCTGTACCTCCGTTAAGAGACCACCCCTTTACACTTCTAAGAGTATGCCATATCCTTACCAGACACCCTGTATACTATATTCCTTATCAGAACTCTTTTTTGAACGCATACCAAAAGGAAATAAAAAAAATCAGTTTGTTTCAAAATTGTACAATCATGGTACGCCATCTGTGACAGAGGACAAATGTAATTCAAGAAATCATTGATATTTTAATTTATTGACTATGGCCTAAATTAGTTCAGAAATATCCACGAAAAATTAACTATTCCCCTAGTAGGATCGAAAATAAAACATGTGTAAGAAGTCTCTTTATTATACTAACACTGCTTTTAATAGTACATTATACTATAAGGGAGAGAAATGCGTTATTTTGGCAGAGGTGCAATTTGAAGCTCGAGGGCGAAGCCCGAGGGCTACAGTGCACCGAGGACAAAATAGCATCTCTCCCGAATGGTATATACTATTTTTTCCACGGTCTCATTAACTTAAAAACACATATTTTGTCATTATGAAGTAAGTAGCACCAGAATTATTGTATTCGGATTTGAGCATTTATTTAGTAGTCGTTGAGTTATTGTCATAACTACAAAATAAACAAACAAAAAGAATTGTCAAATTAAGGTGCTAGTTTGGTTTAGTTTAAAGTTTGTTTAGTGCACAATGAATAATTGTGAGTCGGAAGAGATTGTGGAGGCTGCAAATATTGCAATAAGCAATTTGCTGCCTACGAAGTCAAGATCTTTATACGATATAGCCTACAATCGGTTCAAAAAGTGGTGCGCCGAGAAAAATGTTCAAGTATACAGCGAGAATGTTTTGTTGGCATACTTCAGTGAAAATGCAAAGAATTACAAGTCTTCCACATTATGGGCGCAATATTCTATGGTTAAGTCATGCTTGATAATTTACGACAACATAGATATAAGCAAATTCCCCAAGCTGATCGCATTTTTGAAAAGAACCGGTGACGGATATCAAGCGAAAAAATCGAAAATATTGACAAAGGGTGAAATCGACCGTTTTCTATCAAGTGCAGATGACAAAGAATTCTTAATGATTAAGGTAAGATTACTTTTGTTGTTAGGTATTTCAATTATTAAGTATTTTGATTTTTTATAGGTTGGATTAATTCTGGGGATTGCCGGAGCTTGTCGAACTGATGAACTAGTCAATTTAACTGTAGATGATATTGAGGATGTAGGCTCTTCCTTGATTGTAAAAATTCCAAACACTAAGACAAAGATTCCACGAACCTTTGTGGTTACCGATGTGGGAAATATGCTTGAATTGTTTCGAAAATACCTGTCCCTTCGTCCTCCCCACGTCAAGCATAAGCGCCTTTTTTTGTACTACAAAGCAGGAAAATGTAGTTCGCAGCCAGTTGGCAAGAATACCATGGGAAAAATTCCGAGTGTAGTAGCTTCGTATTTAAAATTACCTGATGCTGCATGTTATACTGGTCACTGCTTACGAAGATCTTCAGCGACATTACTGGCAGATGCTGGTGTGGATATCACGACAATAAAGCGTCATGCTGGTTGGAAATCAACGACAGTCGCTGAGGGTTATGTCGAGAACTCCATTGAAAATAAGACCAAAATTGCTAATCAGGTTTTAGTAGGTACCACTACTAGCGCAATCACAAAAACTGTAAATGTAAGCGAAAGTAATATTCCTTCTAATATTAATTTTGAAAATTGTACAAATGTAACATTTAATTTAAATGTCAATAAATAATTTCAATGTTATCTTTTTTTTTGCATGAAAAACGTTCTCCATAATGTAAACTCCCTTGGGAGCATTATACTCCCTTGGGAATAATCGACTACTTCTGTTTTAATTTTGATGTCATAGAAACTGATTTCTACTCCCGACCGTGGAAAAACGTGATTTTAAACAAACTGTTCGTGCAATAAGGAATTAGTTATTACTCATTATTGGTAATATGATATTCATTAATACTTTGAATAAATATTTGTATCCATGTATTTTTTGTATTGACAAATACAAGTTGGCCACATATTTAACATAACTGAACCTCCTCTACCAACAAGTTTTTGCCGAAGCTACTTTTTCGTATTTATTGACTGAAATGTAATTATCTCCACTTTTAATATAGCCAAGATAATAGATTAGTAATCATTTTTCAGTAAAGCAAGAAACATTAAGGACCTTAAACCATAATTTAATTTAATTTTTCTTTGCAGTTCCGCCAGAGAAGCTGAGCATTCTTGACGAGTCCGGTGTGCACATACCTAACTACATACTCGGACCATATAACGAGGGATCCTCGATCAACATCACGTGCGTCGCTACTGGAGGTAAGAAAATGCAGTAATCCTCTTTACCGGACCTCTGACACCTCTCGTTCCCCTCTAATATCCACGAATCAATCTACTTCCGATGCTAAGCCGCCATAGAAGCGACTATTAACATTTCATAAGCTTCCCACCACAATTTCTGTGCCCATTCAAGTCACCTTTACGTTGATGTTGGAATTATCAATGACAAATCTGATTACTGACTTACTGATGAAACAATGGGAGGGATATAAACGGCGTACCGTGTTGGTAGTGTCCGTTCATGTCCACGTTGAAAAAGTGAAGCTTAATCTCGTACTTTGACATAGGGAAACGTGGTAACAAAAAAATTGTTTGTATTGGAATATCTACAAAGGGATATGTGATATTTGGGGAAAAAGGTTAATGCCAAATTATGATGGCTATAATGAAAGCGTCTAATAGTCACCGCCCATTTCGCCCTTACACAAATAAGAACCACATCTTATTTGTGGAAGGGCGAAATGGGCGGTAACTATTAGACGCCTTCATTATAGCTATCTTTCTCTATCGCACGGATTTCTATGACTTACTTTATCGCTCTCACGTAACGGCTGATGAACCATGGGGACTTTCCGACCCTGTACAGAGAACCTATTAAATATTTTTAATTAAAAATTATGTCTTAAGTGAAAATGTGGCATATAATAGCAAATTATTTAAATTTAAATCACCCCGATCTTTATCAACAAGTATTAGGTTCAAAGACTATCAACCAAACGACAAAGTTTTCTCTCCAATAGAACTCAGTTTGGGTTGATTCGGATAAAAGAAGTATAACACTAGGAGTAACACAGGGCTCTGTTTTAGGTCCTGTCCTTTTCTTGTTGAACATTAATGACTTAGCAAATTTGTCTACTGCAGCATATTTTACTTATACGCAGACGATATCTCAATCATTTTATCTGATAAATTAGATAAAAATTTAACCAATGATGTGGTTTCTGGGTGGTTTTCACAAAATTTTTTGTATTTGAATCATGATAAAACCCAACTGTTACAAGATATTCTCATAATGTGAGATTCCTTGGTCTACATACAGATAAATGTCTTACTATGTTTCGATTCAGTAATCATGGGAGGCTAATAAACCCAAAAAGTGCCAAAAAATAACGATCTTCAGAAAGCTGGCAAATCCAAATGCTTAAAATTTATAAAGAATATGTTTTATCTCTGTGCAATCCTATGAAACTTAATAATGCCTATAACAAGAGTATTTAGTTTTAGATGAAAGGTTTTATTGAGTCTATGGTGATGCCATGAATGGCTAAAATGCAGGAGGGTCTTAATGATATGGAATATGTTTTTTGGACCTTCAGAAACAATATTATATCGGTTCTAGGCAAAACGGATTAAACCTCTCCATCCAAAATACTCAAAAACTCTTATCAGTTCTAGTGATATTTTAATTAAATTTGTTTTACGTCGACTAAAAGATGTTGGTAATTTGAAAAAATTTAAACGCCAAACAGTTTTTCATTGAAATCTATGCAATTAGCTCTCTTTTTAATAACCCTTTAAATTTAAAAAAAATTCTCAAATTTTCTGAAAATGTCAGTTTTTCATAAAATCAATGTTTTGATTATTATTAATGTAATAAGTTTTTTGCACAGAAAATAGTTCAGAAAATGTAATTAATTACGTTTTTTATGTTTCTCTTAGAAATAGAATGACGCGTAGTCAAAAGTAAACGATATAGGGAAACCACCGCATTCGGAATAAAACCGTTCTGTTTTCATTAAATACTCATTAAGATGGAAGTAATAAGATAATTATGAAGTAGTTGCATAAGTATGATTAGATGCAATTTAGTTACCTATGAGATATTGTTGGCCCAGATAACCCAACTTTAACTTGATTAAATTGATAAGATCCTAGTTAAAACTAAAAGTTTTTCTTTAAAAAAATTAATTAACGCTGCAGTTAATTCTTACTTACTCTTTATTTACTTATTTCTAAACAAAATTCTGGCATTAATCTAGTTTTTTATATCGCTGATGTAATTATTAGAGATCGGAAATGTTAGGACGGTTGCAATGTGGTACAGGGTTGGTTGAACGCTGGGTTTTCTTTTATGAAATTTAGACTCATATAGGGCTATCAGAACTTAGCCGCTGGACGTAGATATACGCATTATTTATTAAAAAAACAACAAATTAAATTTACCATACAATACACCACCATAAACCCCAATGCGGCTCGCCCATGTTGGTCCTTGAAAAAGACGGTCGAGTAATATACAGAAATTTTGGGCGTGGCTTATCTCATACTACGTCACAAGATTTTCTAACTTTTAGGATTCGCGTTTGTTTACGTGCGACTTAACTAGTAATTTTGCATTTTTTTCAAGTATATAAGTAAATCTTTCATAGTTGTTTGGGTATTTTACAATAATTAGTTAGTTATTGATAATAGTTTTTGATAAGTTGATGGTGTAGTGATTAATATAAGCTTTTACCACGTAAAAATTCCATGAGTGAGGTATAGTGTTCCAATTTGCAATAATAATTTCTATAGTGTTAAACAAGACAATTTAAAAATTTAATTCAATGTGTTTCCTAAGGATAAAAAACTTAAAAAGATATGAGTGGAACGGTGCAAGAGACGCGATTTGTTTAATCATATAACTGGACATATTTGTAGTACACATTTTGAAGACTCAAACCACCGACAATATAGCGTATCGCTACAGACTGCTACTTAAATGCTGGAAATTGGCAACCCGAAATGGAAGCAGGGTCTCCTTAGGCGGCTTCCAGCTATAAAATTTAGCGTGGTAACTCTTCTACTTGCTAATAGGCGGCAGTTCCAGCGGTGGCTTTGTTGCCAAATAATAACTGCTAAATAAATTTATTGCTTTCAATTATGTAATTAAAGAGATGTGGATTGGAAATCACATTTGCCTTAAATGTTAAATAAAATAAATCAAGTTAGAATTAAAACTATGAATTTACCTAAAAATTACAATGGGTTATTCTGATGACGAAAAATAAAACATAATTAACTGTATTATTCAAATAACAATAATGTGCAAAAGTTCTTTAGGAATATTGGCAAATTTATTTTCGAGGAAGAGTCCCGTCAACGAACACTAAAAAATATTATTAGAAACCTTAGGTGGCAAGAAAACAGCCCCGATCTCATTGTCAGTCCTTTAGACATATTTTTTACGAAATGCTTGATAATTTTGAATTTGTTTTTGAAGCAATTAATAGTAAATTGAAACATATTTTCAATTGTATCATCACAATCACTTGCATGTTGATTTGTAAAAATTGTAGGTATATTAATGTTATTTCGTTTTTAGTTATTCTCCTTATGTTGTTGTAAAGGTTAGTTATAAAAAGCGTTGTTTGTTATTTTCATAAGGATGAATGTTAATTTTTTTTTAAAATAAAGGAAAACTCGTACATTTGTATTTAAAGTTTCTTTCTATCTTTAATTATTAAACCTATAAGTGGATGTCAAAATACAAAAAAAAACCTGTACCTACATTCCACGATGTACTAATAACCCACCTTGTATATTAAATAAATTTATCGTCATCATCAAATATTTAAAAAATTATATTACAAGCTGTTTAAAATATTATTACGAATTTTGTTTATTTGGAAATATATTTTCTGCAATATTTCAATACCAAAAATTGAAAATAGTAGGTAGCTAATTAACGAAATTATGATTAAATAACTTAATTGTAACACCACTGCAGAATATCATATGATACATACATAGATATTCGTTGATTCTTTAAAAACATTTTTATCAATACCTACATCATATATTGAAGTAAATACAGTAACGCAAAAAACAGATATTGATAAAAAAGTGTACAAAAGAAATCCGTAAGTACGCCTGGCAACATTACCAAAGTCTTGTTTATATGTTGCTAGGATACGCTTAGGTATGCGGGCCGCTGTATTTGATTCTTCCTAAAATTCTACTGGTGGTGTACTCTACCGGCAATTCGGAAATTTAAAACTGCTGGCCTATTCCAGGAGCGGTCTGTGGCGATAGCTATTTTGTCTGTGCTCAAACTTTGAACACGATCTTCAAGCAGAGCTATTAAGTTTATCATCAAGAAATAGATTTTTAAAGAAAACAGGTTAAATGTTAAATTTCTAGTTTAATTGATTGTACTCACTTCAAAAGGACTAAATTTATTGTTATTGTTGTATTACAAATTGATGTCATTGTTAGAAAAGCGATTGGAAATTTTAAGTATCTATCAAAATGTGATTTTAATATTTTTGGAAAACTATTTTTCTTAAAATTAAATGTTACGTCGAAAGTTCCGTGAGAATAACTTTTCCTCTTCCTTTCCTTTTATTCCTCCATTTAACTCCGAACACCGAAAAAAATTCTTTCAAGGCTGAAAACTACGTAAAAACTTAATATGATAACTGTAGTTGGTACGTACAAAAATAAATTATTTGGTAGCTTATAAAGATTTAAAGTACTTTGGTAAGTTATTTGAAATTTAATTAAAAACAGATACAATAAAGATCATATAAATTGTACACAATTTTTATTTTAGAGGCAAGAGAATATTAAGATAGGTGTAAATTGTTTATATATTCCCTTTTCCCGTTCATTTTATTAGAGTTTATAGATACATATTAATAGATATCTTTAATAAAATTAACACAAATTTTAGGTTAATTATGTAATCAAACGTCAAAAATGGAGACTGATCGTGGTGTGTACTCAAGCACTTAAGACCAGATCTAATCACATTTCCGTTTCATTTAACATATTATACTGCTTGACATTTCTTGGTTGTATTACTGATATTATTAGAGCAATAGAAGAATTCGTCCTATAATTTCCAACTATAAAGTTGCACTGAAACGGAATGGCATTTTTTACGGAACTCTTACTTCGAGGAATCAGCCCCTTGCTGTTTACTGAACGTGTTATTCCTTTTGCAGGCCGGCCCCCGCCCAAAGTGACCTGGTGGCAGGAGAACGCCCTGCTCGACGACTCTTTCGAGCACTTGTCTGAGCGTAGGGTTAGGAACGTTCTCCACCTGGAGAAACTCGAAAGGAAGCACCTTCACACCGTATTTACTTGCCAAGCGTCCAACAATAATCTAGTGGCGCCCATTTCTAGTTCGGTTACGCTCGACATCAACCGTGAGTTCTAACTTATTTATTATATTATTACTTTGTCATTTTTTGTTATTCTGTTACACCTAAAATTTGCGGTACATTATTCTGAAATGCTTTGTATAAAATGAAATTTGGTTCGTAAGAATTACAAGAAATTCCTAAAATAGGAGACAATCTATATTCATTAAATCTAATTGCATCTAAATACCAATTTGGAGAAGACATAGACGTTTGCAGGATAATTAAGTAATAATTCATGCAACATCCATGTAGCTGGCTTACTGAGTGACAGTTTTATGCTGGGCTAGCAATTATCATAAGCCATCAAAGCCTCAGCAATACTATTCGACAAGCTTTAGGATTATTTGTTGTGTGTACAAATACTGCAATCAAGTGCTAATTACTTCGGTTATTCCCGCCGTTATTCTTTATTTACTGTTATATATTCATTACAGTTGGCAACTCATTTGGCCACCCCTGTGTCCAATTTAATACCCAGTATTTGAAATATGAATCATTACAAATGTATACACAGATCACTTACACGCCAAAACTTCATACAAGTTGACGTTGTTTTATTTTATTATTTATTGTCATTGTTATTTTATTTATTGTCGATAATAAATTAAATTTACAAATTCACAAGAGTAACTTCAGTATCTGGTACTGTCTGTGACGTATTGGCACTGTATTTATTCCTTCCCGCCTTTGAGTGACAAAATTACATGAGATTATACACCAAACAGATTGATGAAAATAATGTAATTTTACATTATTCTCGTCGCTCGTCTCGAAAAAATGTAGTAAAAAACTAGTTCATGCAATTTTACATTCGTATTACATAAATAAATGTAGTTTTGCAAATAAATGTACCAAACATAATTGAATGTTAACAAAAATACTTCGTGTAATTTTACATTTATATTACATAAATAAGTGCAGATAGTTATGCACATAAATTTTTTAAGAAATTCACAATTTATGGTGCATATAGACCTTTATCTATGATTAATGTAATTTTTATATAATTTTACACTACTTAAATTTTTGAAAATATTGTAATTTCGAACTCTCCAAATGCTGTGATTTTAGGGAAAATACATTGAAAAGATTAGTTCATGTAAATTTACTACAGTGCATTTTGTGTTTATACGAAAGATCTGTTTTCCATTTGATTTAAAATTTGTAATGGATGTATGTATATGTATTTTAATAAGGCTAATGGGCTAGTTAATTTTGATATAATTTTACTTCTACAATTATTATTATTATTGTGAAATAAATTATCTAAAATATTACAATTTTTACATGAACTGTAAATGTCATGAATTTTGGAAGATACAGTGAAGAATACTATTTCATGTAATTTTACATTTCATATACTCACAATGAATGGTGTAAATAATGTAATTTACATTAATTTTAGACACTGACCGATTTATATCCATTATAAATTTTCAATTTCTTCAGAAACATATATTAATAACAACATTTATTTACGCAATACAAATGTAAAATTGCAGGAGTTAGTTTTTTACTGTATTACAAAGCTCATGTAAGCTTTCTAAATGTGTTTTTCGGAAAAATGCATTAAAAACTGGTCCATGTAATTTTACATTTGTATTACATAAATAAATAAATGTAGTTATGAACGTATATTTCTCAAGAAATTGAAAATTTACGATGTCAAAAATTAATATAATTTGTATTGTATAATTTTACACTACTTAAATTGTTGAAAATTTTGTAATTTTTAAATAAACTAAATACAGTGATTTTAGGGAAAATACATTAAAAATATTATTTCATGCAAATTTACGAAAGTACATACAACATATATAAATTTGTGTTTATACGAGAAATCTGTTTTCCATTTAATTTAAAATTTACAGTGAATATATTATGGATTTTAATAAGATTAATGGGCTAGTTAATTTTAATATAATTTTACATCTAAAATTATGATAGTGAAGTGAATTATCTAAAATATTATAATTTTTACATGAGCTCTATAAATGTAACGAATTTTGGAAGATCCAGTAAAAATACTAATTCATGTAATTTTACATTACATATACTCACCATGAATGGCGAAAATTTATACTACATTTATAATAGGTTGATGAAAATATTGTAATTTACATTAATTTTTGACACCGATTTATATCCACTGTAAACTTTCAATTTCTTCAGAAATCTATATTCATAACGTTTATTTATGTAATACAAATGTAAAATTACATTAATTAGTTTTTTAGTGTATTGCAAAGCTCATGTAAGCTTTGTAAGTGCATTTTCGAAAAAATGCATTAAAAAACAGATTTATGTAATTTTATGGAAATATTGTAAATTACATTAAATTTTGACACCGAATTATATCCACTGTTAATTTTCAATTTCTTCAAAAATATATGTTCATAACGTTTATTTACGTAATACAAATGTAAAATTACATGAATTATTTGTTTGCTGTATGATAAAGCTCATGTAAGCTTTTTAAGTGTTTTTTTTTAAATCCATTAAAAAACTGATTTACGTAATATTTAGATTTAGATTATTTAGATTTAGATTTATTTGAAACAACAACAAATTACAATTACAATTCAGGTTTAGAAAAACAGAAACTTCAGCTAGACTGATAAGTCAGTTTGTGTTTGAATGTTTCTGTTCTCTGTACAGACAATAGCATGTAATACTTATAACTAAATATAATTAGGTTTGTAATATATATACATATACTTAATAACAAGAAAAAAAAAACTGAAAATAGTTTAAGAGTCTTACAGAACAGCAACATATCTCTACACTAAATTTACATGTTATTTGTTACTTGTTCGAATTTTATATAATTTTGAAATAAAAATGTTTTAATTAATTTCTTATATTTATATTTATTATTCATAAATTTTTTTATTGAAGCAGGAATTAAGTTGTAAAATTTAGGTGCATAAAAAAGTATATTCCTTTGAAGTTGTGATCTTTTAAGGAAAGGCGTCTGAATAGTATTATTTGTTATCGCTCTTGTTTGATAGCCGTGCAAAAGCATTGGGTAGTTTTTATTTATTTTTACGATGTAAATTAATGCACTATAATAATATAAACCTCTAATATCAAAAACATTTATCTGTTCATAAAGTAATTTTGAGGAATATCTACGATTTTTATGGAATAATATTTTTAAAGCAGTGTTTTGACAAACTTGTAAGCTTTTCATAACATCGACATACAAACCACCCCATATGACAATTCCATACCTTATTATTGATTCAACCAATGAGTGGTATATAACTTTTATATTTTTAACATTCATTATATTTCTTAAAAGATATAACCTACAAAACAATTTACGAAGTTTTTTAATAGTTTGTGTAACATGTTCAGACCATCTTAAATATTGATCTACATATATTCCCAAGTATTTTATAGAATTTACTTTTTTAATAGATGAACAAGGGCAGACTGTGTTATCTGTATTTGTACAAGCGGTATTATGTATTATAATACTATCAGAGGTAGGTTGACCCAAAACCGTGAGAGAAAACGTCATAAAATTAGTTTTGGAGTAATTAAGGAATAGATGATTATCACTTAACCAGTGTTGAATAATTTTTAATTCAATTTCTGCATTTTTATATGTATCTTCCCAGTTATCACCATGAAATATGATAGCTGTGTCATCGGCATAAGAAATCATTTTTCCTTTTTTGAGTAGATTTGCAATTTCGTTAATGTATGTTAAAAAGAGTATTGGCCCAAGAACAGTACCTTGTGGCACGCCTGTTTCAATATCCAATTCTTTACTTATCGTATTATTAATTTTTACTTTTTGTCTACGATTAGTTAAATAACATTTTAATAAATCTAAGCCGTGTCCTCTTATTCCAATATCATATAATTTTTGTAATAATATATCATGACATACAGTATCAAAAGCTTTAGTTAAATCCATAAATACAGCTAGACATTTCTTCCCATTATTAATATTACTGATTATTTCATTAGTCAATGCAATTCCTGCATCTTCTGTACTCTTGTTACATCTAAAACCAAATTGATTATCGAATAATATGTGTTGATCTTCTAAGAACTCAACCAATCTTGTTTTTAAACATTTTTCAAATATTTTTGCAAAATTGTTTATTAGCGATATTGGCCTATAATTTGTAGTTTCAGTTCTGTTACCTGTTTTGTAAATAGGTGTTACTATAGATGATTTCCAGGCGTGGGGAATCACATTTGTTGAAAAAACTAAGTTAATAATATGTTTTAACGGTTTTAGTATGAATGTATGTATACGCTTTATAATTTTAACAGTTATGCAATCTTCACCCGGCGCAGAATTATTTTTTAAAGAATTTATGTGTGTTATTAATTCATTCTCATTTACTGGCCGGAGAAAAAATGCCTTAGATGAAATAGATTTAATAGGAACATGTGTATTAGATGGAATAATTTGACTAGCTAAATTTTTACCAATATTAACAAAGAAATGGTTGAAGATATTACTTTTAACTGCATCATCCACAATTTCATTACCAAAACTATCCTTAATTTTATCAATACGTTTATTTTCTACTTTTTTATTTATAACTTCATTGATAACATTCCATATTTTTTAGTAGTCATTTTTTGACTCTGTGATTTTTATGCTATAATATTCATTCTTTGTCTTCTTAATTAGTTTGTTTAACGTATTTCTATATCTAACATATTCTTGGCGAAAATTATCTGTGTAGTTAATCAAAAGTTGTTTTTTCATATTATCTCTATGTCTAATAGACCTGATTAGCTCTGAAGTTATCCAGGGTTTAACTTTCTTATATTTACAACTTACTGTTACAGTTTCTGTAGAATTTTTTATTGCCGTATTAAGCGCATTTAAAAACAATGAATATGATATTTCTACATCTTCATTTAGTTGGACATTATGCCAAGTTTCATGCAATAACAAATTATTTAACATCTCGTAATTTATTTTATTATAATTTAATGTTTCTAATTTACCAACTTTGTGACTATTCAAATTTATCGATAT